CCCCCCCGGTTTCAACTCCTTCGTCGCGCTTCTGAATTGCTGAGGTGTGCTGTTTAAAATGTCCATCGTGTTTCCTACAATGCCACTTTTCCTCCCACCCTTTTCCTCCGTGCGATCTTCCTTGGACTTTTTTTTAACGTTCTAAGCAGGGGTCATTTCGTAGAAAAAGAGGTGCAGGAGCTCATTAGCATAACTTATTTGCATATGCCACACCCCCTGACATCACTGGAAGTGTGTCAGAAGGCAACACCCACCACTCAGGCTCCACTGGACTCTTTTGGATTGCTAGCTATCGGGGGGGGGGATCTGTCCTCACAGAGGAGGGAGAGCTTGTACCTGAAGGCAGGCCGGGAGGGGGGGGCTCTGCAACTTACCTGGCTGCTTCTTGCTCCTCATGGCCCAACTGAGGGCTGCTGGGAGCAGGGGGTGGGGCTTATTGCATGTGCCTGCCCCCTGGGCTCCTTACTGCCGGAGCTCCGCTCCTGAGCGCTCCTGCAGGAAATGACCAATGATTCTACGGTGAGCACATTTCAATGGTGCTGCTATAGTCCTATAGTGGCACCATTGAGATGCGCTCACCTTAGAATATTTTTTTTTTAAGTCCAAGGAAGATCGCATGGAGAAAAAGCAGCAGCACTGTTTGAAATGACCATAGCACTTCAGATACGCCTCCTTAACGGAAGGAAATTTGCTGTATGAAACTCTCGTCCCTGAATCATTTTACTCGAAATCGGGACAACAACGAATAGCATCCAGTTTGGAATGGTAATGTGAAAACAGACAATCCGTTTCTATGGAGGAGCGATATATGGAGCAGGTCTTTTTGGTTTTGTATGAAGCTACAGACCTGAACCGGTTTAATACTCGTTTCCTCTCCCCAGGGAGACTCATGGGTAAGGATCACTAATGGAGAGTTCTCTGGTCCTTTATAGAATCATAGAATGTTAGAGTTGGAAGGGACCTTGCAGGTCATCTAGTCCAACCCCCTGCACTCTGCAGGAGCATAGTCAAAAGATAGCCCTACAACATACCCGAAAGATGGCCGTCCAGCCTCCGCTTGGAAACGTCCAGCGAAGGAGTACCCACCCCCTCCCGAGGCAGACTGTTCCACTGCTCAACCACTCTTACCGTTAGGAAGTTCCTCCTGATATTTAGCCGGTAACGACCCCCTTGTAATTTCCACCCATTAGATCTAGTCTTGCAATCCGGAGCAAGAGAGAATAGATCTGCTCCATCTTCTACATGACGGCCCTTCAGATACTTGAAGACTGCAATCCTGTCCCCTCTAAGCCTTCTCTTTCCCAGGCTAAAGAGACCCAACTCTTTCAGCCTTTCCTCATAAGACTTGGATTCCAGCCCTCTCGCCATCCCGGTTGCCCTCTTTACCGATTCCCAGGATTATTTGGGAGGAAAGGGTGACATGAGAAACTGTTTCTAAGTTTGGAGTGCTTTGACCTGGATGGGCCAGCCTAGCCCAAGCTCATCCGCTCTTGGAAGCTAAGCGGGGACTTGGTTCATCCTTCGCCTTGAAAATCCTACGGGGCTGCCGTACAGCAAGACAGACTCGTTTACAGGAAAAATTCAGCACAGAGAAGCAGAAAACGGCGCAAGGATAAAGGGATCGATTTGGGTAACCGGGGGGAGGGGGGAGTTTCCAAGAACAACCTTCCCATGAAGAAGAGGCCTGGGCCTCGAGGCACCAAGCCCCGGGAGGGCTCCGCACCCACCTCGTGCCGCTCGCCCTTGTTCTCTGTCAGGAGGATGATGGCGTCAGCCAACGTGGTCGACTGGGCCTCGATCTGCTCCACCATCACCAAGCGGGAGCTGTAGATGGCCAGGATGTAGCTGGAGAGGTCGGCGGCCGCGGGGCACCCGTTGCCGGCAGTGGGACTGGACACTGGTTTTTTTGGGGGGGAGAAACAGACGGATTTGAGTGGCAAGCTGCCAAAGGCCCCTTCCTCCTCCCCCCCCCCAAATCTCTGCCAGTCGTCCCCTCTTCAGATTCGGCTACCTTGGCCGACGGAGGTGCCCGAGACAGGGGTGTTCCAGTGGTTGAAAGCGCAGCACACCACGGCGTACTCGCCCGGCTCCAGCATCACGTCGCAGTTGACGAACTTCTTGACGGCGCGCTTGCTGTGCGCCATCAGGCGGCCGAGGCTCAGCTTGTTGCCATTGGTGAAGGTGGCCCGGAAGACCATGATGCACAGGTCCAGCAGGTGGCTGTCCACAGAGTCGGAGCGCCTGCCAGGGGTGGGGAGAAAGAGGACAAGTGGGGTCAAAGTGCACCGGGGGGGGATCACACAGTTTCGGCCTGCTCTTCTCTTAGGGTAACTGTGGAACTGACGAGGCATTGCGGCACTGCCCCAGAGCATTCTGGGGATTTAGCTGACGGTCCTTTATGGAAAGGCTCTCGGTGAAACCGACATTTCTTTTTCTTCCAAAGCCAAAATGAGACAGTAAACGCAGAACACAAATAAGGCAATGGCTTAACGTGGTGGAGCGCTGATTCAATGGAAAATAACCCCCTGCGTAATCGTTTTTAAAAAAGAAACAACCTGAAAGTCATAACATTAATAAAAACTGGGTCAAATCCTCCTTATGACATGAATGATAATGCTGTAGGTGAGCCAGCGTCCTTGCTGTATTTGACTGAGCTTGCCGAAATTCTTAATCTCTTGTACCATCCTGATTTCTGACTAAGGGGTGCAGTTATCCTTTTTCTTCCGTTTGTAATGGAGAATACTATTAAACATTTAAAATAGTTGTTTTTTTAAAAAGATCTACTATTTAGAGGAGCTGCAGTGGCTCGAGTGGTGAAGACACTGAACTGCAGGCTGCGGAAGACCGGTAGTTTAGCAGTTGGAGACCCGAGTGTGCCGCATGACGGAGTGAGCGCCCACCTCTGGCCCCAGCTCCTGCCAACCTAGCCATTCGAAAGCAAGACATTGCAAGTAGATAAATAGGTACCACTTCGGTGGGAAGGGAACAGCTTTCCGTGCGCCTTGGCGTTTAGTCATGCCGGCCACATGACCACGGAAACGTCTTTGGACAGCGCTGGCTCTTTGGCTTTGAAATGGAGATGAGCACTGCAACCCTAGAGTCGGATTCGACTGGCTTTCGAGCAAGGGAGCCTTTACCTTTTTACTATTTAAAAGACTTGGGGAATTTAAAACGTGGTCTTCACAGGTACAGGAAGGATAGCGTGGCTGGCACTTCACAAAGATGTTTGGAAGGGTCAGCCTAGGAAGGGTGCTGCGCAAATGGGAGTGCCTCCACCGAGAAGACTCTGCTGCTTGTCAGTACAAGATAAAACGAGGAAGGGAAAGCCGGGTCTGCTGCTGTACGTTCCTTGGAGGAAAGGGGGTGGAGGTCTACAAACATTCTAGACTGGGGGGCCCCACACTTTTTGAGCACAACTGGAATTTTTAGAGGGGAAGTGGAATTTTTAGACAGGAAGTGGAGCCAAACCCCAAATGGCTTTGGCAGGAGGCGGAGCCAAATGGAATTCCTGCCCCCTCACACCTCCTGGGAAGAAGGAAAGCCCAAAGCAGGAACGGAACCACACACTGAATGGGGTCTGCTTAACAGCCCTCCTGATACTCTAGTGGGAAACCCTCTCGTTTCAATGAGGGCAGCCAGAAATAAGCCCTGTCTTATAATGGCTCTGCCTGGTGCGAAGGAGCGCCGCGTTGGGGACCCCTGTTCTAGACAGACTGCCTACCGGTGAAGGTAAATGTGGGACTGGGGGTGGTGGTGGCCACACCTGTAACATGGCGCATAAGAGCCCCCCAAGGCAGGCTTGTAGCCAGGATGTTGTGGCTGGTGGGGCAAATTCTTTTCTGGTGGGGCTGCCGTTAGATGCCATAATGAAGGGAGGGTGGCCCGTGTCCATGTCTCTGCCCCCCTGCAAGATTTAGAGGGCCCTTCAGCCGATCAGCGGGGAGCAAGCGAGGGAGGGGAGGGAGAGGGGCCTGCGTCAACCCCAACACACACACACACACCGTTTCTTCTCAAAGGCATTTAAAGGGTCCATTTCGATGTTTTTGGGAAGAAGCCCGAGGGGCTTTAAGAAGCCGGGAGCCCTTTAAGGAAGGGGGCAGAGCCCCACCGCAGCCCCACAGGTACGCTCTCTCGCTGCCTTACCGACTGCCTTCCTGGAAGAGGGCGAACTCCAAGGCCGCACGCTCCAGCACGGTCAGTGAGGTGACGGTGACAGGCCCGCTTGCCTTGGTGGGGAAGACGCCCTGGACGCGTACCTCGTGCCAGTCCGAGTGGAGCTTGCAGATGTCCACCGAGTCAAAGTACCTGGCAAGGAAAGACAGACGGCCGTCAGCCCCCACGGATGCCGCCCAGGTCAGGTTAAAATCCCCCCCCCAAAGTTGCCCTGCTCTCAGACATGCCTTGACCCACCCCCTCTTCAGCTCTGTGAGCTTCCTCCCTTCATCAGCTTCCTCCCTTTCTCACCGAGACTCAGGGCAGCAGCTCAATCAGACC